CTACAACAAGTTATACATTTATGACGCATAAACTCAGAATACAAAAAACAACCCCGCGAACAAGGGACAGTAAGGAGTTTAGCTTCACGCCGCACTCGGCAGTTTAACAGTTATATGGCGGCAGTCCGTAAATAATCGAGTCTGGACCAGACAATCCTGTGATCAACAGCATGAGCATCGATCTGCGCAATTGAGATACGATGACATGCGAGCGTCACCACCCGATCCGGTTAGTCGCCTCTTACGACAGGCATGGGTTGCTGAAGATATTTATTATATTTTTATATTTATATAGGATATTTATATAGAGCACATATCCACGTAACTAGTACATGGTCAATGCGCTGGTATTTTTTCCCTCGATCATTGGATGTCAATCTCAACGGCACATCCTATTAATCTCAACTCCCGGGGACCATACTATTCTAACCCGGATCATCACGTGTTGACAAGGGACAGTAAAAACCAGAACAGCCCAGATGTAGATGTAAAACTAGCATGCAAATCTATAGACAATACAATTATATAACCGGCCATAGATCGCCGACAACTGATGGCAGATCACCACACTAAGGACCTTCCTAAATTGTCCCAAGCTAGACTTGTTATACACCATCACATCACCTGATATTGAAAACTGAAGGTTTCTTATGCTCTTGCCTCTCAATGTTCTGGAAAACACGTTGATTTCAATCTAAACTGCGCCACGGCTTACAGAAAGTCACAGTCTCCGTGCCCTAGGTATGCTGGAGACTTGAACATGAAGTAGCCAGACATTTTGCTTGACATATTTATCAAAATGTTTCAAACAATGTCATTTTTCTTCTAAAAAGTCACAATCAAATAACAACTAACATGTCAAAACACGCACGCACACACGCACACACGCACTTTAAATGTAAAGTCAGTGTAACCATATTCTGCCCATGTCGGCGAAAGGATACAGATTCTGCCTTGTGTTTTGTTTGGAGTTTTAATGACAATGGACTACAATTCGAATTCCAGTTACTTGTACATCATAAGGTAGACGGGATCCCATTGGTGTGTATTTATGTATGTGTAGCTCCATTTATGTGTAAGATACACATATATACCTTGTGTCTGTATGTATACGAGAGCATTACACGTTAACAGGTATTGATGATGTGTTTTTCTCCAGGTACATCTTGTGGACGGAGACGAACTCAGACACCCTGTACAGATTGTCGTATCATGGTAAAAGTCTGTCGGAGGTAGTGACGAAAGTCAAAGTCATTGGGGGATTCAACTTTAACCCAATAGGTTGGTTTGTTTTGTTTGTTTGTTTGTTTGTTTTGTTTGTTTGTTTGTTGTTTGACGCCGCACTCAGCAATATTCCACCTACATGGCGGCGGTCTGTGAATAATCGAGTCTGGACTAGACAATCCAGTGATCAAAAGCATGAGCATCGATCTACGCAATTGGGATATGATGACGTGTCCACCATTCCGCCTCTTACCACCAGTATGGGTTCTGACACGGATACTAACGGATTTCACTCAATAAGTACGTCTCTAATCCTTTTCTCGAGGAAACAAGTACACCAAACATTGAAAATATTTACCAAGATACCCATAAAGATCCGATTAGAGTTGGTCTTCGGTAACCCATGTTTGGCGACTAATGGTATCGGATGGTCAGGCTTGCTGACTTGCTGAACACATGTCATCGTATCCCAATTGCGTATAACTGTGCGTCACTGGATTTTCTGGTCCAGATTCGACTTTTTACATGTAGCTGGAATAAACATCAAACCAATCATTTACCAGGATTTGATCCAAAATAATTTCTTCATATGACATATACTGTTTAACAATGATTGGCGTTATTTCTCGTTTTGCAACATTTGATATATTATATCATTCACACTGTACATTCATCGTAACATGTTTACTTTTCCTTCCATTGTATCCCGGAGCGGTATTCATATAAGCTTATGCTTGTTTACCATTCCGGTTCCTTTCTTTGGAAATAAATATGTTTACCAGGAAATCAGAAAACACATGTCATGAGAATAGAACCTGAAACGGGATGGAGAAAAATTCATTAAAAAATTACATACATGGGAAAGTACCTTTTTATCTTGATGATAACGATGTTTCAGGGACTTTGTACTACTGCGGTCCTTCCCCGAGGATGTACCTTTCGGGAGTGCCCCGCCCTCTAGGTATTGAGGACGCCTGCCTTGAAATTGACGCAAGTGATGTCGCTACATATGTTCTGTTAGTAGGTGAACCGTAAGTAGGATTAGCTTTTTCTCTCTGTTTGAAGCTTTTTCGTTAATTTTATGTCAAAGAACTTTTTGTTTCTTTGGCTTTATGTGTGCTTGTTTATTCATTTATGTATTTTACATAATGTCTTTAAGGGGCAGTGGGGTAGCCTAGTGGTTAAAGCGTTGGCTCGTCACGCCGAAGACCCGGGTTCGAGTTCCCACATGGTTACAATGTGTGAAGCCCATTTCTGGTGTCCCCCGCCGTGATGTTGCTGGAATATTGCTAAAAGCGGCGTAAAACCAAACTCAGTCAGTCAGTCATAATGACTTTAACGTTCTTTGCAGTATAACCAACAGCTGACTTTTTACTAGTAAAATGACAACACTATAATATGTCGCCTTATCTCATTTATCATCAAAAACTGTGTTCCACAGGAGATATCGCTTGTTAAGACCATATGATATATCTCAGGCCCCGGGGTCATGAAAGTGACTTAAGTCTAAAAATTGCTTAAATATGTCATTTTGGTCTTAAGTCCAAAAAACTGTCTTAAATCGGAGATCACGTACATTTTTTAGTCTTAAAAGTTAAGACTAAGATCGTTTTTTGTCTTAAATCCTGAGACTGCTACCTACCAGTCTTAAGTCAATTTTATTCCTAGCAAACATGGCGGAGGTGATACGCGTTTTGCGACTTGTTAGACAGAAGGAAAGGAAAGAGCGAATCCCAAGAAAATTTAGGGATAGATTCAACCCTCTCGAATGTTATGGGGACGAGGAACTTTTCCATCGGTATCGTTTTAGGCGATCAACAATATTTTTGGTAAACCTCATTAGTGGACAAATTGCTCACAGAGACGAGGAGATCTTTAAGCCTTCCACCTGTGCTGCAGGTGCTAACCTTTAGCAGTTCGTAGCAACAGGGGCATTTCATGTGCTTGTTGGTGAAGCCTTACACATCAGCAAGTCGACGGCGGGTAGGTGTGTTCGGGGAGTGGCCGATGCCATTTGTCGTCACGCCGCCACCTTTATCAAATTCCCAAGTGGCCAGCGTCTACTAGACGTGAAAGGAAGTTTCACGCAATCGCAGGTAATTAATTATTCTTTAGCACAATGATTCATAAATATAGATTTACAATTACTCTATAATATCGAACAATAATTCTCACTTCAAAAAACAGACGCCATGACACTGTTGAAATGCCCGGCTCGACTAGAGTGACGTCCCCTTGATTGACAACGCATTCGTAACCATTCAAAATCGCACTATAAAATATTTCTAAAAATATATTTTAATGTGTGCATTTTAAGTATTACTAAAATCTTGCATGTGTTACATGTAAACCATTTCACCAATGAAGATTATCGTTCGGGACAGGGACAAGTCTTTCTGAGTGCGAACTGTCCATAGTCTATAATTGCCGATACTAATGCCACCTGTTCAGGCTGTTGAAAGCTGTGTGAACAAATACCGTAAATAAGTTAAAAAATGATAATATAACAGGCAAACAATGTTAAAAGGTAAAATTATCTTTATGATTTTTCTTTCAATTTTAGGTTTCCCAAAGGTTGCAGGTTGCATCGACGGCACCCAGATTCGGATTATCGCACCTGTTGAAAATGAGCCTGATTTTGTAAACAGAAAGGGTTATCATTCCTTGAATGTTCAGGTAACCCAGAGCAATGTTGATTGTCTGACCTATATGCAATGTACCATCCATCTTTTTAATTTTAAAAACATTTTTATTAAAGGAGAAACATTATTAGACTACAAAATATTCATGTAAAATATTCTCAATTTTATTCATAATCACATAAACAATGAAGTATTGCAATTTGTAGAGTATTGAACATCAGACTTACTACCTTCCCCAAAACAATTCCATAAATTGTAATAATAATAAAACAAAACAAATTACTTGAATGTGTTCATAGGTGACGATTTTTTAAAAATGATTCTGTTACACCTTATATTTTACGCAAACCGCAATGACAACTTTACCATTATCGAAAAATTTAGTCAAAATTATGTAGAAATATATTTTAATTAGTTAACTTGAACAGAAAAGTTTCAATGTACTTTTAATGATTTCAGATGGTATGCGACCCCAATTTCCTCATCACTAACTGCGTGGCTAACTGGCCTGGCTCATGCCATGACTCGAGGATCTTCAGGAAAGCAAATTGTCAGAAAACTTTGAAAATGGTAAAAGTATTTGTACTATGTACATGAAATTCTCTTTATAACAAGCATGAAATTTGACAAATTTGAAATTTTCATATCAATCACATGAAATTATGAATTATTTTGGATACAGGACACTTTTTCCTCTATTTCAATTCACTGACATCATGAAATGATTCTTTTCCAGGACTACACGATGGCATTCTTCTCGGGGATTCAGGCTACCCATGCCGGAGATACTTATTGACGCCATACAACAACACTAATAATATTCGGCACAAAGAAAAATTTAACTCAGCTTTGAGTAGGACACGGGTACTGGTTGAACAGACCTTTGGAATATTGAAAAGACGATTTCCTTGTCTCTCTGTAGGTCTTAGAACAAATCCACCAAGGGCTTGCAAGTACATTGTGGCTTGTGTTATCTTACACAACATTGGTATATTACAGTCTGATATAGTTATCAGTGATGTGGAAGAGTTGACACTGCAAAGGCCCTGACAATCAGTTTGTGGACTTCCATGTCAATGATGGTTTGGCATCGAGATGTAATTAGCAAGAACTTACTTTGCTTGAGTATCCCTATTAGCTGCTTAGCTGCCAATAAAAGTGTAATTCAGTTGCAATTGTTCATGAAATGTTAAAAATACACTTTTGAGACATGTAATAATGACAAAATGACATCACACCAGGGTTACAAGACAAGATTTTATTAGGTCAAAACTAAAATAATACATGTCATTGACAATATAGTGATCTTCAGTACATGTCAGGATTATACACACAGTATAAATTGTTATTATTATGCAATGATTATGATACTGTCCAAGAGCAAGGGTAGATATAGTATACACTTATAAGTATTCATGCTTATTTCTTTCATACATTACATAATAAATACATTTGTCAACGTTAAACGTAACTTCATTTCCACTTTTCAGCATTCTGACAAAGTTAAACATATTTGCATTTCAGAGGAGACTAGAGGATAAATAGCTGACATATTTCCTGATACTTAGGACAAATAAGTAATACATGATACTTGTCTTCAATGCCATGTGGACAAAAGGCACATTTCCTATCAATAAATGGTATTTTAGGTATACTCCATCTACCTTTCTCAATCATAAACATATGGGAACTGAGATCGAAAACATGTCATGGCAGTTCTGTATTTTTAACATCAATATTAGATAAATATTTCTCGAAACAAAGAGTTTCCTAATATAAAGATACAATCTGGTTTCACTTAAAGTTGACAACTGATGTTTCCACATTTGGGAATATGTATCTCTAACCCTCTGTGTATTGGGAACAAACTGAGCAACCCAAAACCGAACCTAAAAGGGCATCTCTCAACAAACTTGCCCCATTTTCAGTATTAGGGATTTACATTCAAACTATCCAATAATGAATTATATATCAGAACAATATATCTATTTGGGTTACTTCTCAAAATCTTAATCCAATATTTGATAATACGTACAAGCCTTAAAACTTTCAGAGGATATGTAAATTCAGTTCTCCATATAGAAATGATGACGGAGTTGACATTTTCACATATAGAATATGATTCATAAATTTTAAATGTACCCTTTCAATGGCATCGGCTCCCATAAAACGCCAAACCTCACAGCAGAAAGAATGGGGCAAACAACTGATTGAAATAACTGATATTGTACATCAGGGGTAACATATGCATTGATATGAAATTTTTATATAAAGAACCAACTGCCTTTTGACCTTGTTCCGACAAAGTTTTCTGAGCCAGGAATAACTTCCATGCATTGAAACTATTAAACCAAGACTTTTAAAATTTCTGACAACCTCAAGATTTGAACCATTAATGTCTAAGTTTCTGACTTTGCCTGCCTACCTCCTTTCTTGAGAAAAATAACAATCTTAGAGTTTTCAGTATTAATAGTCAATCCCCATTTTGAACACTAAATATACATCATATCCAAACCATCTTGTAACCCTTCAATACTATTACTGAAGAGGAGCAAACGCACATAAGAAATAACAACCCCCAGGTTGTCAACAGTAGATAATTACAGTTCATGTAGAATGGATATATTCATGGACATAGTATCTACTTAATAATGGAAACAAGTTCATGGACAAGGCTATGCGTTGTTGTATTTGATGATAGTATTAATATTGATACTAATAACAATAGTAGTAGTAGGAAAAGTACTTTATGTTTATGACATCAGTGATATACAGAAAACTGTGCCTTTTCAGGCCTTAAGAGATCCGACACCATGTTATATTGCCATGAGTAAGAAACTGCATTGGTACAGTAGTGCAATTATGTCATGCTCTCATAGTACTTTCCAAATATAGACAGAAAAACACTCACATTATGATAAGTGTCACAAAAGTCAAATAGTGGTAGAAGGTATATCAAAGATTATCCAAAGTTGATACGGTAATGACATAAACTTACCATATAGCCAAGACTGATACTTTCACTCAGTGACAATTATGATTATTTAGCAAAGACTATGACAATGCTATTTACATTTGTATTTTTTATTGTTTAACAAGTGTGCATTAAATATATCCCATTTCTGTGACATTCCAGAATAATTTAAGTAACTTTTAAACAGATAGAGTCAAATTCCATCATCAAAATGACTTTAACAATTGAAGCTAAATTTAGGAATATCTTAGGCTTTGAGAATGGATTTACCAATGTTACACATGTATAATATTTCTTTGTTAAAATGTATGATGATAATAACATTCTTTTAGGTACACATAGAATACGTTTAAAAAGAGTTCCCATCAATACAACATTGGTCAAGTTACAACAGCAGCTCAAAAGAAGATTTTGGGCATTTTCAATTTGTAGCAAAACCAACTGCTGCTGTAACTTTGCCAATTTAGTCTGTTCCTGAATGAGAACTCTATTTTCCTTTACCCTTTGTAGTTCTTCTTTCAAAATCAATTCTTCAGTCCTAGGTTTTGATTTTGGTAGGTTAACAATACTGGTATCAATAAAAGAAAAATCTACAAATGAGGTATCAATTGATGAAAACATCTGCGTGGATTCTGGTTCCTCTGCCGCCGCCTCTGTGTCACAACTCTCAGAAGTCATGGGAACTGAAAAAACACAAAACATTTGTTGTTTATTGTTAGTATGCAATTACATGTAGAGATAGGTAATTAAATCAGTTGTTCATTAGGCATGTCACATATCAATATATATAATGGGTATTGTAAAAATAGTTGCAGTCAAACCTGCACTAGTTGTAGTTGTACTAGTATATATATATGAACAATTTTATGTATCAAGGCATACTTATGTACATGTAAACATCTGCTGGGAAATAATGGGTAATGTAAAAATGACTTATGCCTTGCACGTTACCAGTTGCAGTCAAACCTGCCCTAGTTGTAGTTCATATACAATATTAACAATTTTATGTTCGTATCTGCGCATGTTTATGTACATGTAAGCATCTGCTGGGAAATAATGGGTAATTTAGAAATTATAGACATATCTATGCTGTGATATAGCATCTCTAATTACTGCATTGTAGCAGTTGATAACATTTTTTAAGCAAATGGATTATTATAATATTCAGGTAAAAACAGTTGTCGGCTTGGGACAAATAAACAAAAAGTGAAATTTGACTTCATTATAGCTCGGGAAACATTTAGTACATAACAATGCATTGGGGTTATCAACACATTTAAATCTACCTAACTGACTTAGTACTCTTACTCTTTTTCAAAAACCCTGACTGCGATTTAGACTAAGAGCAAGTTATGAACAAGAATGTCACACATCGCTTGTAAATATTCCTAAATTATCACTTTATTTTTGTTTTAAAATCTCATTTAATGTTGAATTTTACATAAAGAATTATCAATTTCAAGATTCCGATCGGCCCTTGATAAAGTCAGATGTTCTTCACACCATCTCCAAATTGAAACCTGTAGATATATTAACCAAGCCCGGATCAAATATAGATTATGTTTTGTATGTAAAGATAACTTTATTCAAAATTAATTTCATTTTTTTTGTATGTATATGTTATCAAAATCTGAGATGTTTGTATTTACCACATAAATTCTATTCAAATCTGACTATTCGTAAGTTTAATATGCTCATGTCAATTTGCAATCCAGAATTGTAAAAAACCTTGCTATTTATAAACACAAAGCAATGAAACTTAGAGATTCACTCATATGTCAATAATATCATATTTCCTTTTGTACACTTTGTAAATAACTTATTGCATTTTGAACTATATATGCACATATGTACAGCTCTGAAATACTGAAATGTAGCCTGGACCTATGGCTTCCACTACAAAGAAAATAAAAACTGATTGACAAGATGGATCAGTGGCTTTTACAGAATAAAAATGTGTATTTCTATCCGAAAACCTATCTGTGTTATTGTAAAGATGATAGATTTGGTACTTCACCTCCTTCTTGTTTGTTGTGCAACTGTGTTGTCACTTACTGTCTGAGTCAATGCCGCCGGATATGCCACAGAGACTGGGCCTGCCCTCCAGGTTCTGTAGCACAAGCTGCTCAGGGGTTGTAGGAGACTCTGGACGGGGTCCACCTCCAGTTGGGGGCCGCATGGCATGGCTCCTCTTAGCTTTGGCTGTAATCATTGTAACATTCATTTTAATATTATAATTGCAACAAATACTATTACTTTCTATTCATAACTCTTCATGTTGACAATTACAATATAAGATATTGAGGGAACTTGTATTTTTTAATTCCTCAAATTTCCAGATTAAATGATCATTGCACCATGGGTCATATAACCATTATCTTGGTGAATTCTTACTGTAATTACTTATCATATTGTAAACATTAATTCATTCAACAACAGTATTTTCCACGGGCTAGTAATAAATAAAGAATATTTACTATCTAAGTTTTATCATTTATTTTGGACCTTTGATAAATATTTCCTGATGATAATGAGACTAATTACACTCCAAAATCATAAAACTGTAGATATAAGATAACAATTATGTGCATATACTGGGTTTCAGTAAATGGAATCTGTGTAAATTACCCAATTACGCGGCCCAGATTCAACAATGTTATTATGGTTCAGAAATAAGGGCATAGTGCCTAAATTGTTATTTTCCTGTACTGACTATGTTATTGTAGAATATTTAGATATTCCAAATTGTGACTTACCTTTCTGTTTGATGTTCTGGTATTTCTTTTTCATTTCAGTGACTGATCTGATTTCTGAGTTGCCGTTTCTAAACAAAATCAAGATCATAGTATTCAAAATGAATTTGCAACTCAAAATCTACCTGTAGTTATGGAGATTGCTAAGATAGTTAATGAGAAATGATCAAGAAAACTTGTGAACCACGAAAACATGTAACAGTACTAACAGTAACACGAGTTTAACACGGGATCAAAAATGCAAAATAGAAACTTAGATACTTCCCTTTTTCTGTAAAACCAATCCAGATTTACAAATACTATTTGTATGTGAACATTTCAAGTATATATATGTGTGGTTGTCGCTCTCACTGACAACTTATCGGGACTGAAGCGTAATAGCAGCCGATACACGACAACGCGAAATCAAAATAAAAACTAGACCGACATGTAATGTAACCAGCCTTGTGATTGGTCAACACAAAATTATGAACCAATCAGAAAATAGATTACGGCTACTTAGAAAGAAGTAAGAAGAGTTTCCGATGATATAGCAGCTTTTCGATGACATTCACGCCTTTTAAAACTTATTGCCATGTTAGAATTTGTTTTTACATTTATAAAGTGAGAGTGCATGAAGGTGGCAAGTATTGGATTAGTTTGTCCGCCAAACGAATAAATCCACAAGTGCTCATTCAGCTCAGTCTATTTTGATTATTACATTAGAACAATTCGCCCAACTAGATACGCTGTACATTTCATAAATCAGTTGTCTGATGAATACAATTTATCAGCAGAAGTATTTTATTTCAGTTAGGTTGAAATATTGCATATTATATTTGTGATCGAATCTATATCTCTATATACAAAAGCAAATTAATCTCAACTTACGAGTTCACAATCGCCGAAACTTCTTCCCAGGCACTTATTTTTTCTTGTTTGTCCGAATGGACCCGTCGAGCTTTCGAAGAGGAGACTCTCCCTCTTGTTCACCTCTTCGATAAGGATTGTCTCCTCTTGACGGGTCCAGTTGCATCTTCTCTTCTTCTCTTCGGTATTTAAGCCAGGCTGATACTCCGCCATACTGACAGCTCTGTGACTCTAGCAGACGATAGCCCAGCACGTGTTTGTGTTGACAAACAAACCATTACGTAACTTCCGGTGACTGTTGAGTTCCCTTCGTACCGTAAAGCCACTAAAATTCACCGCGGCAGGGATGACAACGTCACTTGACTTGTTTGGAACATTTCAGCAGGTGCCTCCTACTAAACTATTTTCCTCAGTTAATGAAGAGTGACCGGACATGATTACATCATTCTAAACTTGCCATGGCAACTGTCTTAGTCTTAGTCTTAGCTAAGATTTTGCTGAGACAGTTTCATGATCCAGTCTTATCTAAAATCTTAGCTAAGCAAATATTTTTAGACTTAAGATTTTTTTGTGCTAAGCAAATTTTAGACTTAAGATTTTTTCATGACCCCGGGCCCAGGAGATATAGTTTGGACAGTAGATTTTCTACAATGCCCTGACAATGCTATGACGTCATGAACTTAATGACGTCACAATGCTATGACATTGCTGCACTGCAAGTCTAATGGTAGTACAGTGCTGAGAGATGTACATTTTTCATTGAAAACTACATGAAGAATGATTTTTGATGATAAATAGAATATCACCCTCGTGTCTACTGATATCACTTATATCAACATTCGTTGATAAAAGTAAAAATATCCTCGGCAAGCCTCGGATATTTGTAACGTTATCAACTCATGTTGATATAAATGATATCAGTAGACACTTTAATGAGATTATCTTTGTATTGCTCACGAAAAAAAAATGACTGTGCGTAACATAAATTTGCATAGAATAAAAATTACTTGAAAAGTTATAAAAATAATCCTACATAAATATGAAGCAAAGCAGTTTGCATGAAATTTGATATCGCGTATCGCGCGTGGCACGTGCATATTAAGTACAATGAACGTACTCACTTATTGCATGCTTTTTGACACCTGAAGTTCACACACCTGATATTGAGAACTCAGGAACGGTTCCTTTTGCTCTTGCCTCTGAATGCTGCGGAAAACACGTTAATTTCGATCTTAACTGCGCGTACGTCATGCCATGGCTTACAGAAAACCATAGTCTCCGTGCCGTGGGTTTGCTGGAGACTGGAATGGCCAAAAATGAAGTGGCCAGACATTTTGGTGTCGATCGAAACACGATCCCATCTCTGTGGAGACGTTTCCAACATAATGGGAACACGAGAGATTTGCCTGGAACCGGCCGTCCACGTGTGACGTCACGTCAGGAAGACAAGTACATTCGGCGTACCCATCTGAGCAATCAATTCCGGACTGCTAGTTTGACTGTTCGGAGCATTCCTGGCTAACGTTCAATCAGTTCCAGGACTGTACGGAACCGACTGGGGGAACACAACGTCCTCTCCCGGAGCCTGCAATACGTCCAAATTTCTCCAACGTCATCGACAGGCACGTCCTGGTGTAGACAGCATCTACTGTACAAGAGATTGGGATGGCGTTTGTTCACTGACAAGTGGAGATTTCATTTGGACAGCTCAGATTGCAGGGCAAGTGTGCTCAGACGGCGAAGTATACAGTGTGCTGACGCGTGCGTTTTCAGCGTCGGCAGTTTGATGGAGATTTCGTTATGGTATGTGTGTGTGTGTGTGTGTGGGGGAGAGACATCACATCTCATTGTCGGACATCCCTTGTCATCATTAATGGCAATCTGACAGGTATGCGATATAGAGATGAGATCATTGGACCTCATATGCAGCCGTTCATTTAAGGACAGAGACGTAACTTCACGCTTCAGCAAGATAATGCCCGTCCACATGTCGTTTGTGACAGATTTCCTGAGACAACAGTACATTCCGGTACTCCTCTGGCCAGCTGTTTCTTAAGACCTGTCCTCTATTGAGCACGCTTGGGATGAAATGGAGAGACGTTTACGTCAAGCCAATAACCAGCCATTGACGTAAGCTAAATTGGGACAAGCGATGGTTCAGACATGGAACAACATTCCCCAAGCCTTCTTCAATCGCTTAGTGTCGCTGTCTAACCTGCATCAACGCCAATGTCGGACACACACGACACGGAATTTGTGAATTGACTTTTGACACCACATCTCTTCAAGTGCGTGTCACGATGTCAAATCATACAGATTTCGATATTATCCTGTCAACATTTAACAAGGAGAACACCACAAATCATTTTTCTTTTGGCATCAAATAATGTACAGTTACTTTTTTCCAGAAGTATAAATTTAGCATACCAATCTGTGTGATATCTTGCTCTGTGTGGCTTCTTATCGCTTTTGACATTAAAATTCTATCACCAATTTGGCTCAAAGCAGGTTTAAATAATTCAAATGATACACTTATGAACGTTGTATGAAAATAATAAATCCATTTAAACAACAGGAAACTGGCTGTGATTTGGAAAAGAAACCCCACGAAGCCTGTTCATTATAAGTTGCCACACCCAATCCATAAAGGAGCTCTGAAGGTGAGGAAATATGAAAGTTTGATCTCAAAATCTGTTGCATGCCAGGCTTGAAGGTGAAGAGTCATATTTCTTTGTAATGGAAGTCAGATAAACCTTATTTTTCTCTCAAATACTACGGAAAGCTGAAAAGATCGCTAATCGGAAATATCGTCGATAGCAAATGATTATCGATATGAAAATTGAGTCATTGATAATATCGTTCATAAACTTTTGTGACAGAATCAATGTTTTGCTTACTCACACTATATACAAAATTACCTTTTTCCTCATGGGCTTCTTCAAAATAATGTTGAGGATGCATTTTAAGTAACCTATGCATGAGCATGTCGCCTCTCACCAGCGGTGTGAAATATATTCATTTCTTTTCGTCTTCTTATCCTATCGATATTTATCGATAAGTGATCGATATTTAGTTAACGATTACCGATCTCTATTGTCTATATATTCCTTGACGTTTTATCATCTGATCTGTCAATTTCAGAGGCGCTTGATTTCAAAAGAAGTTGTAAATATCGTTTCTAAGTGAAATTGACATCAGTCATGTAAGTGAGTGAAGGGGCTGACATATGTAACTCGTGGACATTCCAACGCCACATGCGGGTATCCCTAAAAAATCACATACTCGTGAAGATACGGGTCATAATTGGTTTTCAGTAACCCATGCTTGCGGTAAGAGGCGACTAACGGGTAGTCAGGCTTGTTGACTTGGTTGACACATGTCATCGTATCCCAACTGCGTGATCTATGCACATGCTGTTGATCACTGGATTGTCTGATCCAGACTCAATTATTTACAGACCGCCGCAAGGTAGCTGGAATGTTGCTGAGTGCGGCGTTAAACAACCAGCCAACCAACCAAACCCTCAAATATCACAATGGTGGGGAAACAGTTAGGGCTATTTGGTTTGAATGCGATGAGTATTGTTTTACTCCAGAGTCAGTCATGTGGTCCCTGGTATATCGACGTAGGACAACTGGGTCCCGATCCACGAGGCGTTCGTAAGGTTACGACCTGTTGTAACTCAATAGTTTTTCATAGGCTTACGAATAGTAACGAACGTTTCGTGGATCTGGACACTGGACCCCGTTCCTCAAAGCGATCGTAGCGCTACGACAGTCGTAAGTCTATGTTAAAGTATGGGAGTTACGATCATCTTAGCGCTACGACAGTCGTAAGTCTATGTTAAAGTATGGGAGTTACGATCATCTTAGCGCTACGATCGTTTCGTGAAACGGGACCCTGGTTCTTGACATCCTGTGAAACATTGAGTGTAATGTATTCTTAAGCTTGGGGTTTGTACTACGGGAGTTAAATAGTCAATGCCGTACATGATCATCTCGTGTTAACTGCCAACAACTAATCTACGTGCTAATTTACTTAACGTTGTTGGTATAGACGTGGTAATGTACGTGTTTATATATGGTGTAAAACAACCTTCACCCACATAATTATGTTTCTCTTTCAGGTTGTGCAATAGGTCGGTCAAAAGGATCAGTGCCAGGTTGTTTATGCAAAAGCATATATTAAATAATAAAAAAACAATACTTTTCTTCTTTCTCCAGTTTCACCGCAACATACAGATTCATCTGCGTCGCCATTGAGTGAGTGAGTATGGTTTTACGCCGCTTTT